TATTAAAATGTCAACACTTTTCAGTATCTGTTATGCATTTTAAATATATCTTAGACATAATATTTACAATATTATGGGCTTATTTACAATATTGTGTTTCTTATATCATTAAAAACATTAACATGGGGCTGGGTTTGTGGTTCAGTGCTAGAGTGCTTGCCTCAAATATGTGGCTCAGTGGTACAACACTCACCTAGTGTGTGCAAGGTGCTGGGTTCGATCCTCAGCACCACATAAAAAAATAAGTAAGTAAAATAAAGGTATTGTGTCCAACCATAAGTAAAAAATATATATTTAAAAATATATATCTGTGTCAAAGTCAAAGGATAAAACATTTTTTAAAAAACATTAACATGAAGTTTAAACTGAATTTAATTTTAAAAATAATACATGTTTTAAAACATAAATTTTAGCGAATAAAGAACCAAAAGAATGAAAATTACATGTATTTCCACCTCTCAAAAAATAATGATGTGGGGGGCTGGGGTTGTGGCTCAGGGGTAGAGTGCTGGTCTAGCACATGCGAGGCCCTGGGTTAGATCCTCATTACCACATAAAAACAAATAAAATAAAGGTATTGTATTCAATTACTTCTAAAAAAATAAATATTTTTAAAAAATTTTAAAAATAATGAGTCCATAGAGCAGAATTAAATTAATAATTCTTAGATTATGCATATTATCTCATTGATCCATGCATGACTCTTTTGTTTTTATCCATTCACTTGTTCTTTTAACTATGATAGTAATAATTCAAGTATTAAATAATAAATGATGATTTCAATTAAATACTGACATCCAGTCATCCACCCAAGACTGAAGCAATAGAATACTGATAAGTTTAAATTCATTTATATGTTTCCCTATTTTGACTCTCCTCAATACTGATGATCATCATCCACATTTATCTGCCTAATATTCTTTTGCCTTTTAATTAATTATTGGTATGCCATATATATGTAGCACTAAAAAAATAGTATTTAGCTGTTTTTTTTTTAATTTGTCAATGGATCTTTATTTACATGTGGTGCTAAGAATTGAACTCTGTGCCTCACACATGCTAGGCAAGAGCTCTACCATTGAGCCACAACACCAGCCCCTGTACTTATTTTTGAATATAAAAAAGATATCCCAGTGACTTGGGAGGCTGAGGCAGGAGGATGGCTAGTTCAAACCAGCCTCAGCAACTTGGTGAGGCCCTAACCAGCTTAGCAAGGCCCTGACTAATAAATAAATAAATAAATAAAAGGGGTGGGGGGCTGGGGCTCAGTGACTAAGCACCCCTGAGTTCAACCTCTGGAACAAGAAAAAATATCTTATTATATGCAATCTTGGGGACTTGGTATCTTAATTTTCTAAAAGTAAAATCTACCTATATTTTTAAAAAAATATTTATTTTTAAAATTTTAGGTGGACACTATATCTGTATTTTATTTTTATGTGGTGCTAAGGATCGAACCCAGTGCCTCATGCATGGTAGGTGAGCACTCTACCACTGAGCCACAACCCCAGCCCATACCCATATTTTTATGTGTAGCTCTAGTGCATTCATATCACTCCTATATAGTACCACATTGTGTAGATATTATCATAATTTATCCTTTTTTCTTTTGAGACTTTTTAAACTAACATTTTAGGGTATTCTTTCAAATATATTTTGTTTCCCTTGTACAAAATATGAATACCATATACATTTTCATGTGACCTAGTTCTCACACTAATGATACCTTACAAACGTATTCCCATTTTAGTAAATATTCTTGTATGATATAGCTTCAAATGGCTGGAGAGTATTCCATCATAGAGTTATAATTTTTTAGTAACCACCAGTTGTTGAACATCTGAATTGCTTGTCATTTTTTCCTGCGATAAGCATTAAGTTGTAGGCCTTTGGCAAAGTACCTCTCCTTTTAGTAATTTATATTAAGTAATATATGAACAAATTTGCACATAGTATATACTGGGCACAGCTTTCACAACATATATGCTCATCACAGCAAATTTTTGCAAGACTAAAATATTGAAAGGAACTTAATGTCCACTAATAGGAGATGGACTAAGTAAATTGTGTGTTAAAATTAGAACACAAATGCAGTTGCTGACATGAAAAGTTATAGTTTATTGTGAAGTGAAAGAAATAGGTTAAATGGTAGAATGACTATATTTTGTAAAAGAAAATAAAGATACCCTTGAAATAGTCTAGAAGAATATTCACCAAAATCTTCATAGTGATTATCTCTGGGTATTGAGATTATTTGAGAATTCATTTTTTTTCACTTTGCTTACTTACATTTTGAAGTGTTTTCAAATGATTAAATATACAAGCAAAGGGATAAATTAATAATGAATTTTGGTGCACAACTCTTTAAACATTTTTCCTGAATAGAAAATACCCTGTCACTGTAAGGACTTTTGGGGAAAAAAACAAGAATATAAAAAAAGAAAACAGAATCATACATAATCCTGCTCACCCAGTGATAATTAGTTCACAATCACCACTGTATTTATTTCTAGTCTTTTCTCTCTTGTTATATATTTTAAGTAGTTGCGGCCACACTTTATATCATCTTGTATGTTGGTTTTTCACTCAACATTATATACTGAACATGCTATAAATATTTTAATGGAAGAATATTACATTATATGTAAACAGCACACTTAACATAATCATTTCCTTAAAGCTAGACTCTTAGGTGTTTGGGTTTTTTTTTTTTTGCTCTACCAAATAAATATGCAAAGAACAGCTTTGAGCATGAATCATCCACATTTTAAATGTCCTTTGATAGATTCCTTGACGTGAAAGTATTGAGTTAAAGAATACAGCTTTATATTCCTCAATTAAGGCAGAATGTAATAGTAAAGAAAAAAAAAAAACAAGAGGTCCAACCAACACCCAAATCCCATGGCCACTGTCAAAAATTACTCTGCTTAGGTAAAAACTGGTATAAAGACATCTTATCTAAGTTGCAGCTTATTGTGATAACCAAATGAGAAACTAGATCCTTCTGAGTCACCATGAACGTTCCTTCCTGAGGAATGCTTTCCTTGACTTTCCAAACTCTCACAGCAGCCTATGTTACTTTTCCTTCATGGCTTTATCACAAGTGATAAATAACTGTTCAATTATCTGTACACTGTCTGTACTCCCCCAGCCGATTTTAGGTTCCATCAGATAAGCCTGGCACACAGTTGGCACTCAATAAATATTTGTTGAATGAATGGATGGATGAACAATGAAGTGATAGCACTTCGTAAACTGTAATTCAGATGATATGTTGCTATTTAATTATTATTGTTGTTGCTCCTGTTTATTACCATGTAGAGGATTCTAAATCTTTATGGTGATTACTTGCCTAACTGTCACTTCATTGTGTGGCTTTCATGTCATTCATAGCAGCCAGAGGCATGGGTAGCAACATTTCTGCAAGTGTCTGGTGAGAGCTGAGACTTGGAGAACCAAGTAGTTAGTTCTCTAGGTCAGCTTGCTGGGATTTAAGGAGCTGTAGTTACCATTAGTTGGATACAAGGCAGTGATCAGGAACCCAGGAGGTCAGTGATATTTGAAGAAGCAGGTAGATCCTGGAGGTCAGAAACAAACTAATGGTAAGTGGTCTAGAGAGTAAAGTTCAAACTGGGGAATGGTCAGTGATAAGAGCTGAAAGTAGTTGGGAAAGTTAAAGTTGAAGCACTTGTACCCAAACATGAAGTCAGGAATATGATTCTAAATCAAAGGGTACTTGAGCTCAGATGACCCCTTATATTCTTTCTGTCAAAACTAAAAATGGTATTGGGAAATGTTTCCACCTACTTCCAGTATACATGAGCAAGGGAATGGGAGTAGCTGGTTGAGGAATGAAAGTCATGAATACAAATAGGTTCTGATGGTGGTGACAGGATAAATGAGACTTTGTATATAAAATTTTATAATATTTGACACATAATATGGGAGCCATCAACTTTCAGATCCTATAATGCTCACCTTGATTTTCAAAAGCAGATATTATGGCAATGTGCTTAGGATCATGGACTCTTGGAAACAGGCTAGCTGGGTTCAAATCCCAGTTTTATTATTTACTAATTGACATGTCCAAAGACAATTACTTTACCTCTGTGTGCCAATTTCCTCATCTGTAAAACGGGGATGATGGTAATACCTACCTCAATGGGTTGTAGTGAAGATTAAATGAATTAATGAATGTAAGGACTAAGAACAGTGCCTGGACACAGCAAATGCTATATAATAATATTATTATTATCATCATCATGTTACATAAGACCAAATAAAAATTAATGTTATTAAAAATTGGACAAATACACTAGATGTTAACTTCACATGAAATAAGTCTCTAAACATGAATTTTTTTTATTTCAATAAAAATTTCACTTGATCCTTAGCATGTTGACTATAAAAACTACAAGCAATGGGAAAGCAGTAAATTCACCATGACAATCCTATCTGCTTATTCTGTAAATTTCTTTTTCTCCTGAATAATATCTTAAAAAGTAGAGAGTATAAATACACATTTCCTAATAACAAAAAAGACAATTAAATCAGTACAGTTGGTCTATAAAATCTGGCCTATAAGAAGGAATTCCCTATTAAATTTTTAGAAGCTAATTTTATGAGAGCAGAAATACCTGAGTTGGGAAATCTGTCTGTGGTAAGATCTGAACATGGGAAGGCTTGGACAGGGAAGACTAAATTTGAAAAAGACTCAACATGGGGGAAGGCTGGAAGACTTGGATTTTAAGCATGTTAGAATACCTGGATATTGCAGACAGTGGAAGACCTGGATGTGAGAAGACCGGCACTGGAGACATTGGAAGACGCAGATATTCAGCCCGCTGATGGAAGACTGGGTAGCTGTAGGAAGACCTGAGGATGTTGGAAGACATGAAGATGCTGGAAGATGAGGAGATGCTGGAAGCCCTGGAGATGCTGGAAGACCTGGAGGTGAAGGAAGACATGGATTTGTTGGAAGACATAGATTCATGGAAGACATGGCTTTGTTGGAAGACGTGGATTTCCTGGAAGACGTAGCTTTGTTGGAAGACGTAGGTTGGCTGGAAGACGTGGATTGGCTGGAAGACATGGATTGGCTGGAAGACGTAGGTTGGCTGGAAGACGTGGATTGGCTGGAAGACGTGGATTGGCTGGAAGACATGGATTGGTTGGAAGACGTGGATTAGATGGAAGACGTGGATTTCCTGGAAGACGTAGATTTCTGGGAAGACAGTGATTTCCTGGAAGACGTGGATTTCCTGGAAGACTTGGATTAGCTGGAAGACGTGGATTTCCTGGAAGACGTGGATTAGCTGGAAGACATGGATTTCCTGGAAGACGCGTATTTCCTGGAAGACGCAGATTTCCTGGAAGACGGGGATTTCCTGGAAGACATGGATTTCCTGGAAGATATGGATTAGCTGGAAGACATGGATATTCCGGAAGCTATGGATTTTATGGAAGACAAGGATTTTCTGGAAGATGTGGATAGGCTGGAAGACCTGGAGGTCAATTGGAAGACATGGATCCTCTGGAAGACATGCTTTTTTGGAAGACGTGGATTTTCAGGAAGACCTTAATTGTCTGGAAGACCTGGATTTTTTGGAAGACAGATTTGCTGGAAGACTCTGAGGTTACTGGAAGACATGGATTTTCTGGAAGACATGGATTTTCTGGAAGACATGGATCTTCAGGAAGACATGGATCTTCAGGAAGACATATATTGGCTGGAAGACCTTGACATTATTGGAAGACATGAATTGTCCGGAAGACATAGCTTTACTGGAAGACCTGGATTTAGTGGAAGAAACTGATTTTGTCTGGAAGACACGGGTTGACTGGAAGACTTGATTTGGTGGAAGACATAGATTGACTGGAAGATCTGGATTGATTGGAAGACCTAGATTTAGTGGAAGACATAGATTTTTCTGGAAGACATGGACTGACTGGAAGACCTGGATTTCTTTCTGGAAGACGTTGATTAATTGGAAGACCGGATTTATTCTGGAAGACCTGGATTGATGGGAAGACTTGGATTTGAAGGAAGACACAGATTTTTCTGGAAGACACAGATCAGCTGGAAGACCTTGAAACTATTGGAAGACATGGACTGGTTGGAAGACCTTGAAATTATTGGAAGACATGGATTTTCCGGAAGACGTGGATTTTCCTGGAAGATCTGGATTTTGTGGAAGACCTACCATCACTGGAAGACTGGATTTACTGGAAGACTTGGAGACTGCTGGAAGACGTGGGTTGTCTGGAAGACATGGATTTTCTGGAAGACATGGATTTTCTGGAAGACATGGATTGTCTGGAAGACCTTGAGGTTATTGGAAGACTTGGAGTTGCTGGAAGACCTGGAGTTGTTGGAAGACCTTGACACTGGCGCCATTGGAAACCCTGGACATTGGAAACATTGGAAGCACAGGATGTTGGAGACATTGGAAGCCTTGGATTTTGGAGACATTGGTTACTCTGGACACTGGAGACTTTGGTGGCCCCTAACATTGGGATATTGGATATTGAAAGACATAGACACTAGAAGCCCTTGATATTACAGACACTACAACTCCTTTACCTGGGAACACCTAAACATTAGCAGGTATAGATATTAGAGGAGACTGGCATCTAGAAATCATAAAATCAGAAGCCCTGGATATAGGGAAACATTGGAAAATCGGGATATTGACATATTTCTGATAAAATATATAAAATTTGGAAGAATTAAGTTTTAATGATGTTAGAATTTGAGAATGCTGGCAAACCTGGATATTAGGAGATCTAAATGTTAAGGGGCAGTCCTGGGTATTAGGAGATCTAGATATTAAGAGATCTAAATGTTAAGAGACATAACCATTCAGACATCAGGGATACTAGGACACCTGAATATTGAAAGACCAGATCCTTAGATGTCAAAAGACTTGCCATTGGAAGAACAGACAATAAAACGAAATTATAAAACTAGAATTTAAGAAAAAAATATATATATGAACTGAATGATATAAGTGCCTGAAGATATTAGAAAAGTTAGACTTGGACACTATGAAATACATAAACTCTAGAAGACCTGTATTTAGGAAATACTGAAGGATTGGTTCCATAGAAGTCTTGGAAGTTAGAACTCTGGACACTGAAAGAGACAATACATGGACCTTAAAGACTGGTGACAATATTGGAAGACCTAGACTTTTAATGACTCTTATTGAGATTAGAAAATGTGGGCATCAGAGATGCTGCAGGCCAGAGACTGGAAGATATGGACATTAAAATATGGGGAAGATCTGGCAACTAGAGATGTGAAGCTGTGGAGATTGGAAGACTTGAATTAGAGACAACAAAGACTGGAAAGGCCTAACCTTAGAGATATTTGAAGGCCATGTTTAGAGATATTGTGCATATTGACAGACTTGTACATTAGGGCTAAGACATTATATTAAAAAGTAGGCGTATCATGAGACTATAACTTATAACCACAGCATTTCTTCTATTCAAAAGCAAAATACAGAGGAAAGACATTTTAAGAAGATGACAAAGAGGAAGTAGGGAAATTCAAGTAAAAATAAGTAGTTTGCATGGGTTGGAACCTATCTTCATAGTCTCAATGAACTGGTCTTCTGGGCTTCTGTGGGTAGACAAAATAGGAATGGGGAATTACCAAAGAATAAGCATATCTAAGCAAGGGGAACTACTTGGCTCTATATCAAGGTTCAGCAAATAGTTTCTGTAAAGGATTACACAGTAAATATTTAAGGCTTTGCAGGCCACATGACCTCTTTTTCAACTATTTAACTCTGCTACTATAGTCCATCCATAGATAGTAAGTATCAGTGAGGATGGCTATGCTACAATAAAACTTTGTTTAAAAAAATATCAATTGTGTTGGATTTGGTCCCATGGTCTGTTTTCCAATCCCTTGAGATGCCAAATCTAGAGTATGGTGCATGCCAGGCTAGCATTCATATTCAAGAGAAAAACATGGAACACTCTGAAGCCCAATATAAATGAAAATACCATGTGATATGATGACACTCTGGAGAGCAGGCTGGCAAGAACCCAAGAAGTGAGTGTAGATCTCTAGGTAAATGTTTCAGCTATATGGACAGAAGCCTTGAATTCAGAGCTGAAATTAAATGGGTTTCATTCAGATCCCCAAGCAAGAGGGCTGAGGGTCACTGAAGATGTCCTAATTTAGTAACCTGGAGGCTTGAGAAGAAACCACATACATGGGCATATATGGAGGGGAACATGAAAGAGATTATAGATTGATGGGCTCATCTCAGGCACCCTGGCTTCAGGTAATACATGTCATTTCTGCTTTTATCTACCAGAGCTTAGGTGCCAAGTTTATGGAATCAGAGTTAAGCTATAGACTGAAGGTCCTTAGTCCTTATACAAGGCTGAGAAAGACAGGGACTATCACATATATGACACGAAAGACAATACAGGCAGTCAAAACCGGTAAGGTACTCTAAGAATAGGCCATGAGTTAAAGATTAAACAGTAGAATATACAGACAATGGGCAGTCACTGAAAGTTTTTGAACAAGTAAATATCTACAGAACTATACACAAGGAAAGTTAGTTGAGCAGCAAGGTACCAATAGTAAAGACTAATAAATATATATACTAGGACAGCTTACAACACTTAAAGGGTTGGGATGTGAAGCCATTGCAGTAATACTGGAAAGGGGTTTGAATTAAGGCAGTGACAGTTCTGTCACCCAACAGACATAGCACCAGAGTCATGAAGAATATTCAGCATTCTGAATATCACTACTTTCAAGTTCTTGAATGCCATTGCAAATAGATGAAGTACAAAGAAGTATAGATGCTAGTTATGAGGAATGTCCTTGCCTAGTAAGATGAATTAGATTAAAACAACTTCTCTCAAAGACAGAGGAGCTAAAAACTTGACAGCCAAGCAAAGTAGGTTCTATGTAGCTTCATCTTTACCCCTTATACCAATCAGAGTGACTTCATTATCTTTAAAGTGGATCTAAGGGGCTGGATTATTTAATAGAGAATGGGAATATATCCATGTCAAAAAAGCTATCATCTCTAACCATCATATTAATAAATATTATATAATGATAACCACATTATAAATACAGCATAAATAATCACTGCAGGACAAAGAGTAACTTAGGAACAAAGGAAGTATTGCCTTAGGTATCTGTCTTAAGGAAAGAAAAATATTAAAAAGCATTTCTTATTCCTTAATACCATCAATGCATACCTTACTTGGAGGGAAATGAAACATTAAATTGTTGCCAAAACAGAAGTAAAAATTCTAGTCAGATAATGTTTATTTATGTTATAATAATAATAATAACAGCAATGATTTATTGAGCGCTTACTATGTGCCAGGCACTGCACTAAGCATCTCGTATACTCTCATAGCAACCCTAATAATGCAGGTATTTTTGACCCCATTTTACAGATTAGACACTAAAATCTGCAATGGTTAAGAAACATGCCCAGTCACACAGCTGGTAACTGGGAGGGGCAGGATTTGAAAGCAGGTTTGTCTGATTCCAAAGTCCAGGCTCCATGCTGATTCCTGATACTCCCAAACCCCCAAAGTTATACTGCTAGGACTCAGCACTACTCACGGAAAGACAGGGAGGGGTCAGGCACAGTGGTGCACACCTGTAATCCCAATGGCTGGGGAGGCTGAGGCAGGAGGATTGTGACTTCAAGGCCAGACTCAGCAAAATTGAGGCACTAAGCAACTGAGCGAGACCCCGTCTCTAAATAAAATACAAAATAGAGCTAGGGATGTGGCTCAGTGGTTGAGTGTCCCTGAGTTCAATCCCTGTACAAAAAAAAAAAAAAAAGGAGGCCCCAACCTCAAGTAGATAGGAAGTTGGTCAATGCCCTCACTCTAAGTCCCATGTCCTTCTCATTTTTATGCTCATCATACTACTGCCAAGAAGTCAAGAGCCAACTCTAGGTATTTGGCATGATGGTTAGCAATGCAAGAAAGATGAAGTGGATGTCTCAAGTACGCCAGATTCATATGTAATTTCTCAATATTTGGTATTCATGCTTGAAATATTTCATTTATTCTTTCATCTGTTTTCTGTTTGATTTTATGGTTCATACACACACACACACACACACGTATATATATATATACATACTCTGTTCACAGCAAATTTCTTTCCAAATACCTAACCAACTATAAGCCACCAACATCAAAGAACATTAAATGATAATAATACCATGAAAAGTTCAGTGATCAACGTATTTCACATCACAACCATTGTTCACAGAAGCCATCAGACTTAAACACGCTGTGGAAACCCTTGACCAGCATTCAGGTGGCAGCAGCTATATGATCCAGATGTAATTTAAAGAGCTGGCTCTGCACTGAACTTAAATTAAACTTTAAAAGACTTTAAATAAAAAGATCTTTTAAAATGTAATACCAGTTTTTAAATATATTCTCCACATTTCAGCAGCCTGGACTGCCCTTTCTCCCCACTTTCTTTCTTTTTTTGCCAGAGGGTTGAAATATATCTATAAAGAAGGAAGTTTCCAGGTGCTTCTTAATATCATCTCAAGAACTCGCCCCCCCCCCAAAAAAAAGAGAGAAAAAAAAAAAAGAACTCGCCCAAACCATTTGGCAACAGAAAGGGCCTTTCTACTAAAACTACTCAAAGAAATGTCAGCATGTAACTTACTCAGAGAAATGTTAGCTTTTCAATTTGGGGGACTATTTTTCATTAAAGAAGAACAATACCTGTTTACACTATAGTGCTGTCATGAAGTTCTATTGCTCCATTTAGCCTATACCAAACCTTCACATCCTCCTGTGAGTTCTACTGACTTCTTGAACTGAACTACATTAAAATATGTCCATTATTTACCCTTATCAGTGATACTTCTTAGATTATTTTAACTGGATTTTGTCTTAAATAAGAACTAGATTCATCCTAACATTTATTTCAAATGACTTAGGCCCTAGACAAATGTTTCCATCTATCAAGCCAAGGTCCATTATATAAAATAAGATTATATAATGTTCAATTCCTCACTGGATGCTGTGGCAAACGCCTGTAATGTCAGCAGCTCAGGAGGCGAGGTAGGAGGATCACAAGTTCAAAGCCAGCCTCAGCAACTTAGTGAGGCTCTAAGCAACTTAGTGAGACCCTGTTTCTAAATAAAATATAAAAAGGTCTGGGGATGTGGCTCAGTGGTTAAGCATCCCTAGGTTCAATCCCTAGGGTACAAAACAAACAAACAACAAATCAAACAAACAAACAAAAAAACATGCTAATTTTATTATTTTCCATTAAGTGTTCCTAGTGGATGCAATTCAATTTAAATTTTGATTTCTCTAATTCTGGTCTAATTAAGAGAAACAAGAGCCAAGGCA